CTGTGCATTCCATCAGGTATAGCAAAATCAAACCAAAAACAAAACAGATTAAAGCCAATCAAAACAGAATATTGAACAGAGCAAAAAATGAGAACAATACTGGGTTTCAAAGACAAGACAGAAAATCCCCCATATTTGCTGTATTGCACGCTGTCAGCCTCCCTAGAGACGCTCAGACCGCTGGCCCCAGGCCTGCAAAATCAACCAGACAATACAAGCATTTATGTGCTTTATGTACCTTAGCTGATATCAACTCAGCCTGTCCTCTGAACCAGCGGGTTGCTTACGGGGCAGGGATGCGGCGGTGTTTGATTCTCAGCCCACGCACCAGTAGGCTCACAGGAGGTGTTGACTGTCCCCTCCTGAAAGCCGGCTGCCCGGCTTCTTGTTGGGCCCTCCTGGTCCCAGCATGGCCCATACGCGGGAGGCACTGACTTTTCTCTTCCTAGAAGCTGTGCCGCTCACCAGCTCTATAGCTCTTAATATTCTCTTCTGGTGTTGAATTTCTGGAATCTTGACGGCTGTATGCCTTGGTGTCATTTAAAAAAATTTTTTTATTGTGGTTAATTGGAGTTTTGTATGCTTCACTTTATGTCAAATTCTTTTTCCTAGTTCAAGAAGTTTTCTACCCTTACTTCAGGAAACATGTTTTTTATGTTATGTTCACTGCCTTTTGCTTGTTTCCATTTCCTCCAGTCAATATTAGATTAGTCTTCTTGGCATCATCTTCTAGCTGCTGCACTGTTTTCTGTGGTCCTTTGCTGTTTAAAGAATCTTTCTTTTAGGATTGCTAACCACAGTCCTGCCTTCCAGCCTAATGTTCTGTCCTCACACTGCTCATTCCGCTGTGTACACCTTCAGTGAATGTTTAGTCTCCTGGTGTATGTTTGAATCTGCTTACAAATTCCAGTGCTTTGCTATGTTGGGCAGTCACGGTTTTCATCATTTTCCTAAGTTCCTGTTTTTTAAAAAATCTGTATCTGCTCTGCACTCACCAACTGTGCTCTTCAGTGTGGTCCCCGTCTCTGTAGTTATCTGAGAAATTATTTCTGATTTTTTTCTAGAGGCTCACTCATCTGCTTTGTTATTTCTGCTGTTAGCACTGCAGACTTCAGGTGGGTGGCTTTCGAATTGCTCCCCCTCATTGCCTCTTGGATTTGCCTTTGGAGAGCTGAGTCTGGAGTTCATCTTGCTTCCTTGTCTGCTCATTTTCTTTTCTTTTTTTTTGGTTTAATTTCCGGGCCGATGCTTGTGACTTGCTTATGACAGGTAACTTTATTGCTAGTATTGAAAATCTTTAGGAAGTGACTACTTCGAGCTGTCTTCCCAGTGTAGCTGGCTTTGGGTTTTGAGTCGGTTGCATGATCCCACTCTTCATGTTATTGGGGATGAGGAGTTGCTGCCTATTTTGCTGGCCCCAGGTCTTTGGCACTGGCCTATAGTGTCGTTTATTACTCTTCTGCAGTCTCAGCCTTGCCGTATAAGAAAGAGCAACTGATTAGAAGAATTACATCACCTTGGGTAGTAGAGTGACACAATTAGCAATAACAATAGCATCAAAATCAGCCTGGAAAATGACAAACTGTGGTAACTATTCATCTGTCCCCTTTAACCATTGTGGTTATATAACAAAATCTAAAACAAACCAGAAAATTACACACAGTAAATATGCCCTCAATATAGTGATTTTACTCTCAGGAAAAAAAAATTTTAAAGCAGTTGGGAAAAAAAAATAGAGAAACAGAAGAAGAGGAAGAGATGGGGTTGGGGATTTAGCTCAGCGGCATAAGCGCCTGCCCTGTAAGCGGGCAGTCATGAGTTCGATCCCCGGTACCGATAAAAAGGAAAAAGACAAAAAAAAAAAAAAGAAGAGGAAGAGATTAGAAGCAAGCCTGGAGGTCAAAGGAAGATCACATGAACTTTGGAATACTGAAGAAGACAAGAGGCACAGACAGAAGGAAAAATAAAAACTAGAATGCATCAACAATGAACACGGGGATTTAGCTCAGCAGCCCGAGCGCCTGCTTGGCAAACTCAAGAGCATGAGTTCAATCCCTGGTACCCACCCCTCAAAAAAAAAACAGTAACAATGAAACTAGAAACAATGTTCACACTAATATAAAAACAAGAACAACAAGGAAAAAAGGGGGGAAAGTCCATCTTAGGGTGCCTGTGCTGTCTCTGTAGACAGAGTGGACAGACAGAGCTCGTATCCCTTGACTAATCCCAGCAAGCCAGCCTTAGATTTACCGTGGGTTGGTGGATACTGCAAATCTGCACCTTCATTTCCACTGCAGTTCAGGTTGGTTCCTGGTTCTGAGGCTGGAACCCAATTTGTCCAGCCTACAGCACTCTGTGTGTCTCCTGCCGGCTTGAACTCTGTTCCGGGTCATCCTGACTCTGGGAGCTGCTAGATGGAACCAGCCCAAGTTCTGAGTTCTGAGTTCAGCTGGCCCCTCTTCCAGATGGTGACCTGCCCCGGGGGAAGTCTGAGCCTGAATAACTCTCCAGTCACCAAAGTCTGCTGCGTCCACTACTCCATCCCACTGGCACATTTCTCTGTGGAGGGCTCTGGGGTCGCCAGTAGCCCTGTGTATGGGTGATCTGCCCCTCCCACAAAGCAAGTCAGGGCTCGGGGAGAAAGTGCCGCTTGCCACCTCCTCCTTCTGCATCTGGTCCCCTTCTCACTCCCCGTGGGCTTCAGCTCTTCCCTAGATCCTTGCTGGGTCCAGGGACCCTGTTCTCTTCCCCATGCTGCTACACTCCAGCACCTGGACACCAAGTCTCAGTCTCAGGGAGACTGTTTCTGTGCTGCTCACCACTCTGCCATCTCCCCAGAGTGTGTAACAAAAGTGTATAAAATTCAAACATTGGGGCTGGGGATTTAGCTCAGCGGCATAAGCGCCTGCCTTGCAAGCAGGCAGTCGTGAGTTCAATGCCTGGTACCAATAAAAGGTAAAAAAAAAAAAAAAAAATTCAAGCATCCACTGCATTTTTGATCACCTCTTGTATTAAGCTAAGAAACAAGGTCATCGTTACACAAATCTCACCATTGCTTTATTATTTTAATATCATCTATGTCTCGAGGTTATTCACATCCGTTGCTATCACCTGCTACATAGAGCTGGTGCTTCAGCTTGTCCCTGAGAGCACATACACAGAGGAAAACACTACATTGACCACCGCCCCGTGAGTCCAGAGCTCCTTCCCGGGAAAACAACCCTTGACCTTCATCTTCAGAAACAAGGTAGGAGTCAGGCGGGGTGGCACATGTCTGTAATCCCAGCTCTCCGGGAGGCCGAGGCAGGAGGATTGCAAGTGCAATTCCAGCCTGGGCAATTTTGTGATTTACTGAGATCCTGTCTCAAAAAAAAAAAAGGTTGCTGATTTAGCTTAATGCAAAGGCCTGGGTTAAATCTCCCACAAACAGGAAAGAAAGAAAAAGAAAGAAGAAAAGAGGGAGGGAAGAGAAGGAAGGAGGGAAGAGGGAGAGGAGGGGAGGAGGAAGGAGACGGGGAGGAGGGAAAGACGGAACAGAAGGAAACAGAGCCCCCAGTGGCTCTAGAAGCTGGTGATGGGCGCCCCCTGGTGGTTATTCTGAGCACCAGTTACCAGCTGTATACGTTTTGGGGTGTTGGTTGGCGTTTCACAATTGAATCCTTTTGCTTCCCCTCCCCCTCCCTTCTCTTCTCCTTCCCTCCATCTGTAAATCCCACTGACATCTCCAAAATGTCTCCCTGCCTCCCTGTTTCCTATCAGTCTTTTATTCTGCTCTTTAAATTAGCTCTACTTTGGGGTTCTCCTGTTAGAGAAACCACGTGACCCTGAACCTCCCGTGTCTGACTTCTGCTAAGCCACCTCGGCACTGTGGTCTGAGGCACATCCGTTTCCCTGCATTTCTCCATGACTCGAATTTACCCTTCTTTGTGACTGGATAACACGCCAGTGTATGCATATTCCCCAGTTAAATCTTGCACCTTGTACTGGAGAAAAAGCAGACCAAGGCAGAGAATCAGAGAGCTGCGAGGAGCTTCTCCAGCGGAGATGGAAGACCAAGCCGTGCAATCCCACAGCACCCCCAAGCCAAGTACTCAGGGAGCAGAGCCATTGCCCCGAACCTAGGAACCATGGGGTGCCCCCCAGCCCTTCAGCACCTGGGTCTCAGCCTTGGTGTGGGGGTCCCTCATCTCCCCTTCTCTGCTCCGACCCACAAGGGATCTGGGCTCAAGATCCTCAGAACCCATCAGCTGCCTCACCCGGGCTCTCAGCCCCCGGCCCTGGTGGAGACTCCCCGCTTCCCCAGTCCCCCAAAACATGAGAGGAGGCTCCCACCTGAGCAACATGTCATTCTGGACATTTAGGGGAGGCGTGGACACGGCCGTGGCCAGACATGGGGGGCGCTGGCCCACTTCCCCAGACCCTGTCTGCGTGGGCCCCCGCCACCTGCCCTGTCCCACTGCCCAAGTCCTGTCACAAGCTGCAGCCACCGCCTTCTCTCTGACCTCCCCAAGTGTAGGGGAAGGAGGAGGGCGGCCTTCACTCCCAGAGACGCCTGCTCTGCCTGCGCCTACCGGGGACAGAAAAACCCCTCTCCGAGGTGAGTCTGCTGCCCCCAGGGCAGGACAATGGTGTTTTGCACCTTCTGCTTGGTTGGGGCTGCAGAAACCCCGGATTGGGGGCTTTCGGCCCTCACATCAGGTAAAGTGAGGGTGGTCAGCTGCTCTTAGATCAGGGTCAGTGCACGCACAGAGCTGGCCCAGCCTGCCTTCTAGTGGACTGAGAACAGGGTCACCCTCATTTATGCCCTGCGGTCTGTGGCTCTGAGACAAAAGGCAGAAGTGGTCACAGAGCCTGAAGTATTTACTGTCCAGCTCTTGAAGGACAAGTTGGTCAGCCCCAAACTTTCTCTTCAAAAATTTTTAATTAGCCCCTGATTAATGTGTTTTGAAATTTTACTTTAGTTTTTCTTTTTCTCCTTGAAATAAAATGGATCTGGACAGTTTGTAAATAACATTTTTTATTAAAAATTTATTAGTGCGTATTAGTTACACAGAGTACTGGCTTTCTCCTTGCATATTGGTGCCTGCGTGTAACATACTTTGTCTCCACACAACCTCCCTCTTCCCTGCCAATTTTTCTCATTTATTTGTGTTTTTTAATTCTCTATAGTTGGTACTGGGGGTTGAACCCAGGGCCTTCACACTTAGCTACATTACCAGCCCTTTATTAATTTGTAAAAGCTTGTGACAGTATCTTGCTAGGTTGCCAAATTGGTCCGGCTACTCTTGAACTTGAGGTTCTCCTGCCTCAGCCTCCCAGAGTGCTGGGATTATAGGCTTGTGCCACTAAGTCCTTCCACATGTTGGATGCCATGCCATCTGACTCCTCTGGGCCGTGGGGAGCACTTGCTATGGCTGATTTGCCCTGGGAGGAGCTGCTTCTGGCACTCATGGCAAGGTCGGCTTCTGAGAGGGACAGTGTGGGCATGTGGGCATGTGCTGGTGATCTGGGGACAGCCACTGCCACGCCCTGCAGGGGGGTGAATTAAGCCCTCATTTTCCCTCACAGTGTGAAACCTTCCCCAGCTGCCCAAGCAGGACCAAGATGCCACACTGCTGACGGGCAATGTCAGCTGAGCAGAACACCAAGGGGGTCCCCGAGAGCTTGGGCTGAAGACCTGCCCTGCCACCGGGTAGCACCCAGCACGCCAGGCTGCAGGATGGAGAAAGCCCGGAGGGCTTCCTGGAGGGGGCAGCTTGGAGCCTGCAAAGGATTCAGCCACCACGCAGCCTTCAGCACATATTTATTGAGGCTGGGCTGGGGGGCTGGAGGACGCTGCTGAGAACAGGACAGAGCCCACCCTGAAACACGGCCACAGGTAAAAGCCAGCGAGGGCAGAGTGGGATCACTCTGTTCCCAGATGGAATCTCATTGGCCCACAGAGTCCCAGAGAGGGTCTACTTCCCAAGCCCCCACAGGCTGAGGGTTTCCTGGGTCCCCAGAGCAGTGCCCAAGGAAGCCCAGGGTGCCCCTCATGGGGCAGAGGACAGAAGGAAATGGCCTCAGGAATCTGTCAGCACCTCCTCCAAGTGTTCCAAAGGAAAAGGTGGTGGCCGTGGGGCAGAGGAACTTAGTCTAATTCAGTACTTGGGGATGCGCCCCAGTGGCCTGCAGGGAGGTGGACAGCAGGCAGCAGCGGGGACTCAGGGGCCCCCAGAACTGACCTGGGCAAGGAAGGGGCAAAGGTCTCACAGGCAGGGAGGCCGCCTGCCACTGGCCTGGCCTGGGACAGTTCCGAGACAGCCAGCTCTGCCACGGCAGGAGGTGAGAGGAGGTGCTCTGCCAGCTGTATCTGTGGGGCTGCAGGCCCTGGCTGCTCTGGGCCCTGTTTGGGGCGCAGCAGCCCTGTCCTCATGACCCCTCTCCCCGGGGTCTCACAGGCAGCTACGGGAGGAAGCTATGCAGGGTGAGGTCATCTCCCTCTCGGTCCTCCCTGCCCTCTGCCTTGAGGTCCCGGCCCTTGGCCACGCCCCCGTTGGCCACAGTGGGGGCCCCCTCACCCCCATCGGGGAGCAGGGAGGAGATGCAGACCATCTCAGTGGGCGAGTAGCTGCGTACTGGGTATGTGTGGCCCTTGCGGGAGAGGCGGACCGCCAGCACCACGGTGCACACAAGGAAGATGGTGGCCACCAGTGCCAGGATGAGGATGGCCAGCAGGCACTGTTTCACAGGGATGCGGCCTGAGGCCTCGGTGGGGATGGGGGCCATGGAGCTCCCAGTGGGCACAGCCAGGCCTTTTCTCAGGCCTGAGCCGGACAAGTCACTAGCTGCCACAGTGGTGTCCTTCCCATTGACAGAGTGCCCAAGAAAAGGAATGGTGGGGGTGGGTTCTGTGGATGAGAACTCTGTGGTGTCTGACTCTGTGGACACGGTCACTGTGGCAATGGACTCTGTGGACAGAGCTTCTGTGACTGTGATACTCAGGAGGGCCTCTGTGGCTGCAGGCTGTGTGGTCTCTGCCTCCGTGGGCGCAGGCTGTGTGGTCTCAGCTTCCATGGGTGCAGGCTGGGTGGTCTCAGCTTCCGTGGGTACAGGCTGAGTGGTCTCTGCCTCCGTGGGTGCAGGCTGGGTGGTCTCAGCTTCCGTGGGTGCAGGCTGAGTGGTCTCTGCCTCTGTGGGTGCAGGCTGGGTGGTCTCAGCTTCCGTGGGTGCAGGCTGTGTGGTCTCTGCCTCTGTGGGTGCAGGCTGGGTGGTCTCAGCTTCCGTGGGTACAGGCTGGGTGGTCTCAGCTTCCGTGGGTGCAGGCTGGGTGGTCTCTTCCTCTGTGGCTGCTGGCTGCACAGATAGGGCCCCCACTCTGAATGACACCTCTCTGGTGAAAACAGTTCCAGAGCTCAGTTCTGTGGCCAGATCCACTGTGACTGGACTCTGCTGTGTGACCAGCTCTGTGCCGGACTCCACAGTGGGCAGCTCAGGGGTTCCAAGTCCCACAGTACCTACCGACCTCAGATGGTCCCTCGTGGTCACAAGCCCAGAGGCTATTATAAGTGTTTCTGGAGGTTCTGTGTTGTAGTGGTAGTCGTAATCCTCATCCTCACCGTCCACCTGTCTCCGTGCTCGGGAAAGTGGAGGGTTTGGGGCTCCCTTAGCTGCACCCTCCTGGGTGGAGGCTGTGCCCAGTGGTGCCAGCAGCACCACCAGCAGCAGCAGGATGAGGAACTGAGGCATGGTACCTGGGGAAACAGACAGAGGGACATCAGGGCCCACGGAGCCACAAGCCTGTGACCCCAGTCTATTCTGGGGCAGCACTGTGGCTTCAGGGACCCCAGAACCCAGCACAGCCAGCAGTGTCAGCAGCTGTTACCATCACGGCAGGCACAAAGGAAGCCACGGGCGCCTTCAGCCTCCGATGCAGGAGTCACAGACACTTCCTGCGTCCTTAGCCTTTTTGGCTTATTGGAAGAGGGTGTCTATCAGCTCTGGGCCTTGTGGCTGGCCTTGGGGGCCCAGGTGGGGACAGAGGGCAAAGTTAAGAAAGGCAAGGACCTTTCTTAACAGTGCAGCACCAGGAAGGTCAGCCCTGTTCCCGGGTGCCAGGCAGGGCGCAGGGCTGGAAGCGGGTGCCACGGAGCAGGTCAACCCCAGCTGTCTCCTAGGAGCTGTGTGCTCCTGAGACAGGCCGCTGCCTCTTGCTGGGATTTCCTGTCTGTAAAGCAGGGGTAAGAAATGGCGCAAGGGGGTGGGGCCAGTGCCTGGAATATGTGGGTGCTTCTTAGGGCTTAGGTCAAAAACGTCCCTCCAAGTCCCCTGTGTTCAGAAGTGGGGTTCTGGGGAGGTGGCTGGACCACGAGGACCCTAACTTCCTCAGTGGGTGGGTCCACCCATCACAGATGGCATTTAGGGGGGTGATGCAGACCCGCCGTGGGGTCTCCCCGCCCCGAGCTTCCTGGCGGCCATGAGGACAGCGGCCACCCTTCCGCCACCGCGTCTGTGCCTCGGAGCAGGTGAGCAGGGCCGAAACCTGGGGAACTGTGAGGCAAGATGCACCTTTCCTTCTTGCCTGCCCAGCTCCTCTGAAGGCAGAGGCAGGAAGATCGCGAGTTCGAGTCCCCCCTGGGCAACTTAGACTTCATGTCACAAACAATAAAATAAAATATAAAGGGGGCCAGGTTGTAGCTTAGCACCTCTGGGGTTGGGTCCCCCAAGGCCAAGAAAAAAAAACGACAAAAGAAAGAAAGAAGAGAAAGCGAGGGGGAGGAGGCCGGGAGGGGAATAAAGGGAAGAAGGGAAGGACACACACACACACACACACACACACACACACACACACACGTGTCTGCAGCGTGGCTGAGTGCCCACTTGGGGGCAGAGGATGTGGCCCGAACCTGCCCACTTTGCTGGGGGACAGGAGGCGGCCTCGGTTCCTCACCCCGCAGGTTCCGGGGTTCCGGGAAGCCCAGCCTCAGCTGCTTCCTGTACGCATCGGGGAGGGGCAAGGTCGCAGGCCCGCTCCGGCTCCAGGGATGCGGGGGAGGCACCTTGGATGGGGCGCGTCCTATCTTTGCGGCCCAGCCGCAGGCAGGGACTGAGGACTGGCTGCCCTCCATCCTCTGCCTTCTGCGCAAGGAGAGAGCATGGCCCTGAATCCTGCATCTCTCCGAGCCTTGTGGCCCTGAGCTGGCTGCTTTGCACTCTTGGAGCCTCGGTTTCCTCATCTGTAAAATGGGTAGTGTTGATTAACAGAATGGGCTGCCATTCAGGAGGTGCCCGGTGCTGGCGGCCGGCAGAGGTGGTTTATCTGAGTCCTGTTTGGGGCTGCAGGCAGTGGACGGAACAAAGGGAAGGTACAGAGCCGCCTTCGGACCACCTCCAGCGGTCAGAGAAAACACAGGGGCCTGCAAAAGTGGGGCTGCTTGCTCTTTGTTGGGCTAAGACGGGGCACCGAGAGACCCCAAATCTACCACCTGCGCCTGTCTGGGGCCACCCGCTTCCCAGGTGTTTTTAGTGTCCTCACTGAAACTCCCTCGTCTCCCACAAGCCAGCAGCCTCAGACTGAAATGGGCACCCGGGCCTGAGCCCAGCCCGACGGACAGGAGGGCCCAGGAGGACGCTGTGGCGGGTACTGACTGCTTCAATCAACGCGCTGACCTGCAGCGAGGGCCACACTTGCTCCAGAATCCCGCGGTGGGGGCGGAGCAGGGGCCTCAGAGACTCCCAGGAGGCTGCCAGGTTGAGTCACTTCCGGGACCACCCTCCTCTCCCCCCTCCCCAGCTCAGCGCAGGTGAGGACCAGCAGGGCCTTGCTATCTTGAGGCCCGCACATCGGAGGCCAGAGGCGCCCTGTTTCCTGTCTCTCACCCAAAAGTCAGTTGCTTCTGCCCCAGGCCACACCCGGGCTACAGGGAGAAAGGAGTCGGAATCCAGGGGCCACACCTAGCTCAGGACACCTTAACCTGCAGCCAGCAACCAAGGCTGCTCAAAAATAGAGCCTAACAGTTTGTAATAGCTGAATCTTGGAAACAGCCCAGGTACCCATCACCCAAGGAATGGACAAATATGTGGGGTTTTAAAAATACAGTGGAGTACTACTGAGCCATCAAAAAGGTAAGCTCGAGCCATTTCTAGCTAAATGGATACACCTTGAGGCCATACTCGTAAGTGAAATAAATCGGACACACATGTTCAAAGATCACATGGTTTCTCTAGTGTGAGAAACCAATAATGTAAATAAGGACAAAAATGTGTAATAGAATTGGGAAATGGGAAGAAAATATTCAAATGAGAAGGGGAACCAGGGAGGAAATGGGAGAAAACAGAAAAGGCAAAAAGCCAAGGAAAAATGAGTTCCATCCTTGGTACTGATAAAAAAAAAATAAAAAGGAAACAAAGCTTTTGTAATTAAAGAGAGGTTGAAAGAGCTGGGCGGGGTGGCTCATGCCTGTAATCCCAGCACTCAGGAGGCTGAGGCAGGAGGATCGTTGGGAGTCTGAGACCAGCCTGGGCTACAAAGTGAGCTCAAGACCAGCCTGAACTGCGTAGACAGACCCTCTCTGAAAAAGCCTAAATAAATAGAGAGAGGTTGAAAGGACGGGGGTTGGATAAAAAGAAACAAGATATCTCATGTACAGGTACAAATTTCATATGATGGATGATATCACGATATCTAAAATGTACCGATATAATAAAAATTATAAATAAATAAAGCCCGGGTATACATCTGCAATGTCAGCACTCTGGGAGGCTGAAGCAGGAGGATTGCTAGTCTGATCCCAACCTGTGCAACTTAACCCAGTGAGACCCTGTCTCAAAAAAATAATTGTTTTTTGTAGATGTAGCTCAGGGTGAAGGCCTTAGCTTCAATTCCTAATACCACAGTAAATAAGTAAATAAATAAACCCTTAGGGTCAGGCATGGTAAAGTCCAGTTTCTTGGGAGGCTGAGGCAGGAGAATTGCAAACTCCAGGTTGGTCTAATCTAGGCAACTGAGGAGACCTTGTCTCAAAATGTAAAAAAGTAAATGACACCCCGGCGCCTCTGAGCCCAGCATGCAGGGTTTTAGAATCTTACAACCCGAAGGCCCGAGGCTGTGTTGTCAGAGTCTGGGTGAAGGGAACCGCTGGTCTCTCGGGGCTGAGTAGTCCTCCGGCCACACCGCAGGTCTGCCTGGGGGAGGCGGGCGGGGTGGCTCACATCTCCGTTGCGACTTTGGGCAACTCCACTGACCTCCCTGAGACCTGGAGGGTCGCACCCGGAGCACGCTTGCTGCTGGATTGGCCGAGGGGTTGCGCCCCCAGCCTTAGGGCAAAGGGACAGCATCGCACAGCCAAGACGCAACGGGGCGCTGGGCCGTGGCAGCTGGACGTCCTGCTTCAGCCCGGCCCACCTCAGACTTAACGGGAAGCCTGCTGGATCACACAGTTCTAGCCCGGCAAAGATCGAACCTCAGGGACAGGTTCTGCTGCAGAGCAGAGTCGCTAAGCGGGGAGCCGTCGCTAAGCGGGGAGCAGGCAGCAGCCGCCCGGAGGCTGAGCACGTAGTAGGTGCTCGGCGAACAGCCGCTGCCGCCCTCGCTCTGCATTTAGGGCGAGGGACTCTGTAAACCGCAGCTACACCCAGGTCAAGGCCCCTCCGGGAGGGGCTGGGGCACCGCTGACCTCCTTAGTCAGGGGGTGGGGCGCCGGGTGCCGCCCACAGCCTCAGGCCTGCTGGGAGCCACACCTGTTGGGTGCAAACAGTCTGCACACCAAGTGTTCCCCCTCAAAAGGATGGGAACCCTTACTAATTCCATGTGAAAGGTGGGGAAACTGAGGCCCACTTGGACGCTAGTCACAGAACCAGGAAGACAGGGAGCAGGAAGTTGGATCCCGCGGTCTTCCTGCAGAGGTCACCTCAGCGCAGCCCCTCAGCCACTGTGAACAAGGCTGGGTCCCTTCTTGGAGCGAATACCGCCTCCTCCTGGAAGCCATCCCCGATTGCCCCAGGCATGGTTTGCATCCTTCTAACCGCCCCCAAGTCCCCCTCCCTTGGGCTGGGTTGAACCCAAGGTCTTGCATGTGGCAGGCAAGTGCTCTGTTACTGAGCTACCTCCACCCTTCTTACGCTGAGACAGCGGTTCCCTAAATTGCCCCGACTGGGCTCAAAGTTGTGATCCTCCTGCCTCAGCTTCCTGAGTAGCTAAGATTACAGGCTGGCACCACCACACCTGGCCACCCTCCACTGATTAAACCTTCTCTACTGTTTGCTTTCTGAAAATCCATTGCCATGCCAAGAGGACAGCACACAGCATCCTGCTAACTGTACCACACGGCCAGGACTTAGTGGACAGAAGGACACATGTGGGCACCTCCGTGTACTCCCAGGGGCTCACAGATGCTGTGGCTGTCTGTCCTGTGCCATCCCCACCAGATCGAAGGCATTTGGAAGACAGAAACTCAACAGGGACCCCAGCAGCAACAGGCCTGGCATCCCCGGGGTTCACCGAGTGCCCAGCCAGGCAACCAGCTGCAGCTGGACTATGCCTGGCTTTTATGACTCTGACTTTTCCCGTCGTGTTTGTTAACAGACACTCAAACCTTTACACATCATCAACACCCACCCTGTCAAAGCTCCTCTGTAGACACGCTTCTAATTCCCAGCCAGCCCTGTGCCCAGTGAACACCACAGAATGCTGTGTGTCTGTTTTCCACCCCGGACCCTGTGTGAGGCCACAGACGGTGAATATTTTGGGTCCTCTATCCCCAAGAGCCCCGATGGGCTGCCCTGATGGAAAGGAGGTGTGTGATTTTTGCATGAATGAAGTGGAGGGGAGCTCTTCCTGCTTTCTTTCTAGCAGGGGACTCTGCTTTCTGAAGACACCTGTGTAGACAGAGGGACAAGCACGCACAGACAGACAGACACAGATACACGCACATGCCAGCCACCTCCTCTCCCCCACTGAGCCCCTGCCGTCTTCCTGCTCCGGCTCAGCAAAGGAAACTGAGAGCCAGGCCCAGACGCCAGGACTGACAGTGCTCTGCACCCAGAGGTCGCCTCCTCCTGGTGGCCTCCCTGCTCTGGGGAGCTGCAGTTATGTCCCCTGCAGAAGGGGGCCCTGCCCATTTCCAGGATGCTCTGCAATCTCGCAGACCCTCGGGGCCCTTCTTGGCGCGGCCCCTCCAGCCATCTGAGGTCTACTTCTCCCAGCTGCTGGTGGAGCCCTGCGGACCACGTCTCCACCCTCTGTGCCTGCAGGGTGTGGCTCTGGGCAGCGCCCCAGGAAGCCACTCCAGGCCCGAGCCCCAGAGATACCTCCTGCGCCCCTGCTCACTGTCAGGCCCAGCCTGGGGGGGCTCCAGGTCAGGGCTGGGTAAAGGAGGAATACAAAGGTCCGGGGAAAAGGGACTTCCAGGAGCAGGAACCCTGCTATTTGTGACACAAGTGTGCGTGTGCAAGCTTGTGTGTGCACACATGCATATTCTGCATTGCCCACAGAGAGGGAAGTAGCTTTGGCCCTCAGCCTTATCTTTCTCCTTTACTGCCCAAAAGTACCCCAGAGACACATTAATAAGAACGTTCCAGTGCTTGGCTCTACTGCTTTCTCTTTTGCTAACAATTTTATCATAATGCACGAGTGTCGTTTGCTCAGTAGCAGTCACAGTGCAGTTTTCGTGGGCCTGGGACAGGCAGTTCCAAGACAAGCCCGAGTGGCTCCTGCTTTGGGGCACTCCCGGACCTAATCTCAGTTCTGTCCTAAGCAACTCCTACAGCCCAGGAAAGAAAGGGGCGGACTGATGCTCAAGGAAGAGCCCTTGATTTTTCTGATGTTCCCGACGTTCCCAGAGTGCCCCCGGCGCTGCCATGGCAGGCAGGGCCAGCAGAGAGAGCAGGTTGGAGGCTGTGGGATCGGAAACCAGAAGAGGCCAGAAAAGGCCACGGACTCCAGGAAGACCATGGATGGGGGTCTGCAGCGACGGAGATGCCAGCAGCTCTCCCTGGGCTCACCAGTAGCTGACAGGCAGGTCCCCTGGTCCCCTGGTCCCTTGGGTCCCTGGCCACTCCCCAGGGTTTTTGCAAACCAGCACTTACCGTGCTCAGCAGAGCATGGGACAGCTACCTCCGGGCCCTAGAGGTGACTTCTTAGCTTTAGTGACACGGCCCCAGCTCACACTGCAGTGCACTGCGTGGCACCCCCTGCCGTGTCTCAGACCCTGCCAACCCCCAAGGGCTCTGTGTGGAAGAAGGAAGCGAGAGTGTGGTTACTCAGCGGGGACCACGTGATGATGCACACTTCCTTGTTTGTGACAGCTTGGGTGACAACCATCAAGACTGGGTGACAGTGAGATAGGGACCTGTTGGGTGTCTGTGTAGATTCTCTGTCGCCATGAAAACAGCAAAAACTATGTGGAAACTTTCTAGGGAAGGATCACACCCTGGTGTGATCCACCCAGAGAGAGGTCAGGACATCACCCTGTGAGGGTGACAGCTGGGCCACAGGGTACCTGCCCTGGAAGGCAGTGAACAGAGGAAGAGAGGCTGGCACTCCCTTCTCACCCCTGATGAGGTAGGGGCAGGGGGCCAACCGGAAGACAGGACATCAACCTTTAGGGTTTTACAAGTCCGATGCATCTCTTCTTTTCAGGGTTCAACAGCAGGTCCTTTAAACAGCAATCAGAGTCCCCCTTGGGAGCTGGATTACAAATCCCACAGGGCAAGACATGCTCATGGGTTTGTTTGTTTCTGGTACTGGGGGTAGAACCCAGGGCCTTGTGCATGGTAGGCAAATGCATTAGCACTGAGCAACATCTCTAGACCTTTATTTTATTTTATTGAGACAGTCTTTTTTTTTTTTTTTTTTTTACTCGGTACCGGGGATTGAACTCACGACCGCCTGCTTGCAAGACAGGTGCTTATGCCGCTGAGCTAAATCCCCAGCCCCGAGACAGAATCTTGCTATGCAGTTCTTGAACTCACAGTCTAGCTTAGGGTGGCCTTGACGTGGCAGCCTCTTGTCTCAGCTTCCCAAGTGCTGAGATTACAGATATATGACCTTCAGACCTTTTTTAAATTTTATTTTGGGTTAGGGTCTTGCTGCCTAAGCTTACTTTGAGTTTGTGATCCTCCAGCCTCATCCTCCCAAGTAGCTGGAACTATAGGTGTGTGATCACCACACATGGCTGAGACCTGCTTATCTCATTTCTCCTTCCTAATTTGTTTATCTAGTCCACTCTGGAACCCAACTTGGGTGCACTGATTACTCAGAGCCAGCAGCTCTGGGGTCTTTTTGTTTTGTTTTTTTTTTTTGCAGTACTGGGGATCGAACTCATAACCTCATGCTTGCCAGGCAGGCACTTATGCCACTGAGCTAGATCCCCAGCCCTTATTATTTTGTTTTTTGAGACAGGGTCTTGCTATGTAGTTCAGGGTGGCCTTGAACTAATTATGTAGCCTCGGCTGGACTCAAATTCACAGTGACCCTCCTGCCTCAGCCTCCCCAGTGCTGGGCACACCCAGCTGGGCTCTTGCCCTCCTGTAGCTCTTCCTCAGATGGGGAGGCCAGTAAGTAAACAAGTAGATGAAGGGTTACAACACTGTGTGGCAAACATCACTCTGGGGTGAGCAGAAGGACAGTATCCCAGGGAGAAATGACACTTGAGATGACAACTTGGGTGGCTGACTGGGCAGCCCAGGTGGGGCACAGCAGTGGGGAGGGCCTGTGGCTTTGCACCAGCGAGGGGCTCGGGACAGGAAGACAGAAGCCACACCCTGACTCCCACACACTGTTTTCAAAGGTGGAGAGTAGGGCAGAAGGTTCAGGTTCACGTCCTGTGTGATGATCATGAAACCACATCCCACTGCACCTGTGGGACTCAAGCATTCAAAGTGGTTTCTAGGAATGGAACCCAGAAATGTGCTCCTTCAAAGACCACAGCGACGGTATGTCCCTCAGGAATCCCATGGGGACCTTGAGGGCATATTTATGTTTGTTAAAGTAACTTAAAGCCAAGGTGGTAGTGCACATCTGTAATCCTAGCACCCTGGGGAGGCTGAGGCAGGAGGACTGTAAATTCAACCATGGCCTGGGCCATTTAGCAAGACCCGATTTCAAAATTACAAAGAAAACATTAAAAAGGGCTGGGAATGTAGTGCAACACATCCTCTGGGTTCAGTTCCCAATGCCACCACCACAAAGCGGGGAGGGCGTTAAATTAAATAAATTAAACTGGAGAGTAGGACTGAGTCATTGTCTGTGCAGGCAAAACCAGCTCGGCATCAGGGGTGTCCTAAGCCAGGATTGATTTGCAAATCTGAGTGAAACTGAAGCTATTTCTTGTGAATGGTGACATCAAAGGAAAACAGAATTTACTCAACCAACCAAGAATAGCCAACAAATAACTAGCAACCATCCAGTGACATACACCAGCTCAGGCCACCGAGTACCTGTCTCACGTTTTCTCTGCTTTGCCTTTTCACCCTCCAGCCAGGGCTGCTGAATATCTTTAGGCTGAAAACACAGGCCAGAGGGCTAGAGAGAACTGGGTGCTTGCTTTGAGCTTGCTGTGTGCCTGGAGCGGGATCACTTGGCCTCTCTGAGCTTGCCTCATCTAGAAAAGGAAGCTCTGGTTCTGTAGTGCAAAACAACATTAAAAAAAATCAGTTAACGGCCTGAGAGTTGATTGGGCTGCACATGTGGGCACAGCAGCTTCCTCATCTGGATCACATTCGGTAAAATTCGAAGGCAAAAGCTAGATTTTGGTGTTGCCTACCTTTAATACATAAGAAACCAAAGCCTCCCTTGCCCCAAATGCAGGAACTCTCTGCCCACGCAGGACCCCACAGGGACCTCATGGCTCCCTGTGGCTTTTGCAAAGCGAAACTCCCAAGATGATTCTTTCTCTGCAGCCTCCACTCATGTATCCTCTGCCTCTTTGTTCTATGCCGATTTTTAGCTCTTGTATTCTCTGCCACAGGATCTTTTCACATACACGGAGCGTTCTTCACTGGTTGCCTTCTCAGTACCTGCCGCTCACACCCGGTTCACGTGCCACCTCCCTCAGGCTGCCCTGACCGGCTCTGGCCTGCCCAGCCCCGCAGCGTCAGAGCTCAGGGTCTGTCTCCTGGGGAGCTCCAGAATCCCACCCACTCTGGCTGCTGCCTTCAGGGCATGGGGCTTCCTCCAGGCTAAGGAGTTTCCCCAGGGGTGGGATTTCTTTAATTTGCCCACCATGAGTCCTCTGTTGAAAGCCAAAGCCTCATTAAATACAGTAAGAACAGAGCTGCGGCTGGTTCCCCGAGGGCAGATGTGGAGGGAGTGGGTGCCTCACACCACCTGCCGCTCTCCCTCGTCATCCTCCTCCGCCCTACACGTTCCCAGTGTCACCTGTTTGAACCATCAGAAGGGGAAGCAGCTACTTGGCGTAGCTGTGGTCGGGATTCAATTCCCCTCCTCAGATGGGAACAGAGCAACAGACAGGTCGCTTTCACACCCTCCTGCCCCACTCTGGCTGCCAGTGTGGGCGGCACCAGCAGCTGGGTTCCTCTTGGAGATGGCAGTGTGAAGTGAAAAGTGAAAAACAGGGACCCAGCTCACTGGGCAGCTCGGTCACCAGAGGGGACTGCACAGGGGCCGCTGCCTGACCTGGGAGGGTGAGGCTGGAGAGCAGTGTAGACTCGTGCTCTGAACCCAGAGATTCTCCACAAGGGTGGCAGCAGGTGGAATCTGGGCATCCAATAGCCACTGCTGAGCACCCGGCCCCTGCCTGGCAGGGCAGACCCGAGGGACAGTGGATCCCAAAGCGTTTACAGGCCCGATGAGCACGGACCTCTGCAGCTGTTGCAGGGGTCGTGGGCAGAAACTGCTCAAAGGGGATGAAATGGCGCTTAAGAGTCCTGTGGTGTCCCACAGAACCTGTCAGAAATGCAGCTGGGGATCAGGTGTGGACGTGGAGAGCTAAAGGGAGCCAGAGGCCCTTTCCCCATCGCCACACCCTTGCTCTGCCTGTGAGCTCCTAACTGTCCCAGTGCCCTGCATAGGAAAAACAAAGCTGACAGGCATGTGGTTGGTTTGATCAAAGGGTGCTGTTCTGCAAAGTACAGCTGAGCAGATAAATAGGTGTCCCTGTCCCAGCAATGATTCATGTTTGTTTTTAGACAAGGTCTCACTATGTCCAGGCTGGTCTTGAATTCATGCTGATCCTCCTGCCTCAGCCCTCCAAGTGCTGGGATTGCAGGCGTGTGCCACTATGCCCAGCTTCAGTGGCTGCTCGGAAAGCAGACGGGAGGTGGCAGACTTGGTTAGGAAGCCACGATGGCTAGTTTTGTTGGTCAACATGATCGGGCAGTGGGTGCTCAGATATTGGCGCAACATTTTAAGTGTGGACTTTGTCCTCTAGGCAAAGAGAGAATCAATGTCTCCTTCGAAGACCTGGACAGACTGTCCTAGAAAATGTCATTCTGGAAGCAGGTGGCTGGAGGCAGGAAGAGAGTTACGAGATTAGGGCCTGGCTCTGCTACAGAGGCCAGATGCCCACATACGAATCTCCACCTTGTCACCTCACGTGGCATCCAGAGCCACTGCCTCTGGGAGAAACTGGCCAGGGAGATAACCACTGTATTTGAGGCTAGTAATAAGCAGCCCCCGAGTCCATTAGCCACAAGGAATTTACCCCCATCATGCTTCTCAGTACAGGAATGAGACTGCAACAACTTCTGGTTATGCATTGATGAGGCAACTTCCAGTTCTCAGACCTCATCATCAAAGGGCTTGAACCCTGCTGCTGACATCCTGATGGTGGATTCCCAGCAGTGCGTATCTCTCTAGGCTGGACATTTCATCCACTCTGTTTCCCCCTGGCCCTTTACACTCCCACTGTCAAAGTACCTCACCTGGTAAAGGCCTGGATGAACAAGACTGTCTAGCACGGATGGGACAGGAAGCAAGCAGAAAGAGGGCAGGGCTACCACGAAGGTGAGCCCTGCTCTGGGAACCTGAGGGTCCTGGCAGGGGAGGTTGGGTGCATTTGGCAAGCAGCCCTGTTGGGACCCTGGTCTGGAGTGTACACCCCAACACTGTAACCTGTTTGCATCACCTGGACTCACTCAGCACACCATGCACCTCGGACTTAATGGTTTTACCCGTCGAGCCAGGGTGATGATCAAATAATCAGGACCAGGCACAGTGGCATGGAACCTGTCATCTCAGCTAGCTGGGCAGCTTAGGCAGAAGTCACCAAGTTCAAGGGCACCCTGGGCAACTCGGCGAGACCCTGCCTTAAAACACAGTGAAAAAGTACTGGGCCTGTAGCTTAATAGTTGAGGACGTCCCTAGCATGAAGACGGTCCTGGTTTGATCCCCAGTATCAGGGCTGGGGGATATCATACCATAGCACATTAAAAATAACTTACTGGGCTCTGTGGCCTTAATTTTTGCCTTTAGAGTCTTATGTAACTTAATTTCCATGTGACCATTATTTCTTTTCCTTTGAACTTATCCTATTGCTTTGGGGTTCAAAATCTTTTTCCTGCATTCTAAAAAGGGACTTATCTTCTTCCCTCCAGAAGGAAAGTCTTATTTTCCTTCAAGTGTTAGCTCCACTAGAAATGCAGACTGGTGCTGATGTAAGGATCTAAGGTCCATTTATTACATAATTCTCCACCAATTCATGCTTAATTACCAGTTTACTGCTAATACATTAAGAATTTCTTCCTGGGAATGAGAAACTTAAAATTCAGAAAAACTGTGTGTAACCTACAACTTCCAACTAATCGCAACTTTCCCGGTATTTAGTCTACACATAAACATACACTGTGTGTACCTATTTCTTTAAAAAGGAAATTGGGTGATGACTGTGTTAGGGACCGATAAAGTCTGGCTTCTTGAGAAATCCTGGTCTGTTCTTTCCGTTCTCGTGGGGGGCTGCTGTTCCTGCCCATCTTAACTCATCGCAGATCAGCCAGCTAACATCACTGACTGTGGAGTGGCTCTGGGATAGCTGGTGTGAGAATTATTTTCCAATTTTCACCAATGAATTGTTCAAATTATTTTAAAGACTATCAAATTACTTTTGAATGTTTTACATTTTTTTTCTGATGACAACACAGCTCCCCATTGGGGCACTTGGAATATCCAAAGACAACTGGTGGTGGACATCCAACATCCAGAAGTAATACAGTGGTACCTCAATCCACAAACACTTTTGCCTGCAAACAGAAGCCTTTGGCAAAATCTTGTTTTGGTTTGCAAAATGTTCATCAGGTGACAAACACAACTGCAGCCATCTTTCCCACACAAACACAAACCTGGCCATCTTTTCCAAAATCATGAAACAAATTAAGTTCATAAAGCAGCGTACCACTGTATACCTTCATGCTTCAACCCAGATACACTTACTTTAAAAACAAAAGCTGGAATCAACTGTTCTATAATGCACCAGGGATGGAACCCAGGAGTACTTTACCACTGAGCCACAGTCCCCCCATCACCAAATTTTGAGACAAGGGCTTGCTAAGTTGCCCAGGTTGGCTCTGAACTTGAGATCCTGCTGCCTTGGCATCCTAAGTGCTGAGATTACAGGCATGCACCACCATGGCCAATTTAAGTGACTTTAACCACACAGTGTTGACGTATGTGACCAACTCCTTTCAGCAGGACTAATTTTCCCTCCTCTAATTCCTGAGGATATCTCCTACTAGTTCCCTGGGACAAAATCTCCAAGATGAACCTTGGGTCAAAATGTTAAGCATACTTTCGGCATGGTGACCACCTGCTCATGCTCCCCCGGCTGAGGGGTGAAGGATCCCTCCCAGCACTGTGGTGGGCAGGGGTTCTAATGGAGGAAAGGCACGGTCCATCCTGGAGAACAAGCAGAGCTCGTAGGAAGCGAAGTCGTGCTCTTGATGATGACTTGTGTCCCTAGTCCAAGGACCATTTGGGGATATTTTATTGTGCCAGCACAAAGAGAAAGAGCCTCTTAGAGTTAACAAATTCTTAAGAGCCAACAAAAAGTTTTTCGGGACACAACACTAAATACAACATGGGAAGTAACCTTTAAAAAGCGCAAGTTCTCCCCAGACAAGGTCTAGCTGGCTGTCTGGTGGTGACACGATGGTCTCTAGGTCTTCTGGCAAAGAATCGAGACAGCCACAGCCAGAAAACAAGTCCGTTGTAAACAGACCACCACGCGTCTCCTCCCTGACTGTGGGTCTAGAGAGAAGTCTGCCAACTTACTTCTGCTTCCTGCAGCCGCCAGCTGAAGGAGAACCTGGCAGCTCCTCTGCCCACAAAGAAGACAACGCTAGGATAAGGGAGTCAGTTTTTCCTAGGCAGTGACCCAGGAACGCTGTACTCCTGTGCTACATCCCGGTCCTTTGTATTCTGACCCAGGATCTTGCTAAAATGCTCAGATTGGGGTCGAATTTGCAACCTTCCTGCCTCAGCCTCCTAGGTAGCTAGGATTACAGGTGTATACTTCCACAGTATTTGAGCATAAGACATTGAGGAGAGAGGTTTATGTTGATTATTTCCCACATTTATAAACAGAAAAGGTAAACAATGGAAATTCTTTGCAACACTGAGCTGTCATGAATAAAAGAAGTACTGTAAAAAGGGAGCCCAGAGCAGGCATGCCATCCCACTGATAATCAGCATCTTCCGCTGCAATAAAAACAGCAGCCACGCCAGGAGAATTTTACTGGTATTGAGGAGCTGTGCAGGCAATCAGCTCAGCACAGTGACCACAGCAGCCGCTCAGCAAGGGCTGACTGCACTGGACAGACACAGGTGTCTCTCCCACTTAAACTGCATGGACTTAGCATCCTTCTTCCAAGGTGAGGAAAGGGAGCCCGGAAAGGAGCGCTCCAGGACCCAGGTCTGCGCGGACCTGGCAGGTAGGTGCACTGGCCTCTATGAGGCCCCTCTCGACCCCGCACTTCCTGAGCTCAGTGCCTGCTCCTTCCCCAGTACTTACCCTCAGAGTCCCCGGGCTGAGCCAGGTGGGGCTGCCTGGGAGACAGCCAGGTTGGAGTGAAAGAAACACGGGACACCGATTTGTAATCAATGATCTTTATCTCTGAAAATGGAAGCAAGTATTTTGACAGAACACTATGGCTGCTCTACAAGAGCAGATCTAGGAGTAATTCAGTGTCCTCCTCTGGGGTATCATGGCATTTTAAAAAAAGAAGACGAAGACAAAACAGGAAAGATGATCCACAATGCTTCAGGTGCCTGCTGTGAGCCTGGCTGGGCATCCCTCCATTAAATACACCAGAAGCTGCACGCTAAGGTCGGGGTAACTTTTCCCTGCTCACCCTCTTTGCTTTGAACCACAATCCTTGGGGCATTTCATCATCATCCACAGCGATTCTGTTCACTAATTTGGTATCAGAACCTTAACACATTTCTGGATCTTCAAAATGAAGGCCCTTAGTAGATAACATGATATGGAAATAACGTAGGTTTGACTATAAATTACTGTGATGGTTGTGTCTTACTATCTCCTTCAGTATTAGAAACACACATACAGACATAAAGCCACCTGAGACACTCGGATGCCGGCAGCTGCCAGGCCCCACTCTGTCCTGCTTCCGGTTTACTCCTGCCACACCAGCCCACGCCCATGCCAAGGAGCTCGCTGTGTGCTCACATGCAGTCAGACACTCAGCCCTTTCCACACAGAGGCTCCTTCGGTCTGGCTCTGCACAAATGCAATCCGGGAACGCGGAAACAGGGCAGGCTCCCAACTCATGGAGGGATGAGCAGGGGGTCAGTGCTCAGCTCCTGCCCCTTTGAGTCCATGGCGCGTCTGTGAGCTGGTCTGTGTGGGGTACGTAAGGGACACGACTGGACACATCAGTCAGAGTGACAGCAGAGGCCTGCACTCGTTTCCGCTTCTTTCCAGCCCACTCGCCTCAGTCTCAACATCCACTGGCACCCTGGCCTTGAAGGGTGTGGTTAGGGCTGACCTGCAGGGAGACAGGCGGGACTGGCTGGGAGCCCTGAGCGGTCACAGCAGACGTGAAGAGGAGGGAGCCAGGTGCTCTGGGTGTAAGCAGAGCTGCTGCTTCTCCATACAGCTCAGGGACAGCAGGGTCAAGCAGAAAACAGAGGACCACCTGGCAAAGGCCCCCTCCACGCTCCCTGGCGCAGGCCCTACCACTGCACTCAAGAGCTAGGCACACTGCTGAGCTGGGCAGGAGGGACACTCAGCAATGTGTGGTCCTCCTGTCCCGGGCACCCTTGTCAAGTACTGACCATGAGTTTCAAAGTGATGAATGTGACAGACAGATTCTGTGTGTAACAAAACTGCAGAAACACATGCTAGTTTGGGTTAGATTATAATCATCTGAAGCACAGGATCAAGCAAAATTCCATTCTGGTACAACCACCCAATTTCTAGAAAAGAGAAAGGAAAGAAAGGAGGAGAGACAATTCGAGCTTTTTTGATCAGAAGACTCAGGAGTGAGGGTGGTAATGTGGGTCCACATGATTTCAAGTCTTCCTTTTGTACAGTCATTACGATGACCAGGGGTGTGCTGCACTCGAGCCAGCACCATGTGGCCACCGCTCTGATTGTTCTCAGATGAATGTTTATACAAAATAATATCTTCATTTAGTTTATAAACATACACAGTGCTGTCCCTTTCAAATTAAGAAAAAAAAAAAACCACACATGAATACTGCAAAGTAGCAAAATACAAAGAAAAACAAGCTACTTTTGGTTTTGGCAACATTTAAAAAAAGAAAAGAAATATAAAAAGCGATGTGGCATTGGTCCCTAGTCATTAAAAAAAAAGGTTCTTGGGCACGACACTGAATCAGAATTGGTTTGTTTTCTAAAATTCAGGATATCTGGGACTTTAAAAGTAGCACTTTTGTCTTTTAAAAGTTCAAGTCACATAACACTTAAAACATCAAAAAAGCTTTCTGATAAAAAGCTCAGCTTTTGTTCTTGCAAAATTTGGGAGAGGAATTGAGCTCTTACTGGAATGTGGCCTATCGCTGGCTGACAGATCTGGATGGAATGTCTCCAGTGGCAGTGCCTCCCTCTCCGCCCTCCCTAGGACCACGCCAACCACCAGCCACCAAGCACAAGTTCTTGCTCCCATTTTGGAGGGTGGAGGTGAGACCTTCAGGCTGCTATCTTCGCCATCTGCTGTTCTAACTTGGAAATACGCTCATCTTGACTGCAGATTGTGTCTTTAATCGATTTGATTTCTTTTAAAATTTCATCCAACTTTGCTTCATTTTGCTAAGAAAGCAAACAAAAAGGGAGTGGTGACTAAAAAGCAGTAAACCAACTCAAACGCAGTTGTGATTATGAGTCTTAAAGTATTCCATTTGCAAATGGCAAACTGTAATCTCCAAACAGAGAAGTCAAATCCCACTGCTTTACGAGACACAACTGATGCCTGCCGGAGGGAGCATCAGCAACCCCATGCTAAAACAACTGTGTTCCTCGGAGGCCAAGCTACTGCTGCCCCCGTGCTGTGGACTCAGCACAGGTTATCTCAGGTGGAAAATTGTACGGCAAGACTGGATCCCAACCACTCCACTTGCTCCACCACTTGTAGTCTGTGGCTGACCAGAGAGAGACTGACACTTTCAAAGGCTGCAGAGCTCCCTCTCTCTCCGAGGAGGGTCTCAGGGAATGAAATTCCTGCTGGTCTGTTGATTTTTTTTTTTTTTTTTTTTTTTTTTTTTGTCTTTTTGAGGCAGGGTCTCACTACTCAGTGCAGGCTGGCCTTGAGCTCACTTTGTAGTCCAGGCTGGTCTTGAACTTGCAAACAAGTCTCCTACCTCAGCCTCCCAAGTGCTGGGATTACCAGAGTGCACCACTACACCCGGCTCCAGTCTGCTAATTTTCAAAGGGAACTGAGCCTTTCCCACTTACAGCAGATTCTTTTGGAAATCTCACAGTTACCGAAATCCAGGGAGCTGCCTCCTCGTCAGCTCCTACAGGTATGATTCTGCCTCTCCATTTCTCTTACCCGCTCAGGAGCAGCTCACCCTCTTCCCCTCTGGAGGCTGGACTCCCCACCTCCCACCTCCCAGGGCCTATCTCCTGGCCCACATCCCTCCACGGATGGCTCTTGCCAGGTTTACCCTTGCTGTGGCCCCTACACCACCAGACCACTGAGCAACACCAGACCACTCCTACACTTCTTCCCTCCAGGACCCCTCCTCTCCCTAGCTCCTGTGACCCTGCACTCCCATGTCAGACTTCTACAAACCACACAGGAGTCTGGGAAAGTTAAAACGCTGCCCGGCATGGTGGCACCTATAATCCCAGCACCAAGGAGGCTAAGGCAGGATAATCACTGCAAGTTTGAGACCAACTGGGCTAAGCCAGCCCAAACTGCATAGTAAAACCCTATCTCAAAAAGAGGAGACAGGGAACCCCCTGCAAAGGTTTGTTCACCCTCAGAGACGGTGAGAGATGGGCATCTACCCAAACTATAAAACCCAGAGTTCCAGGAACCAAGCTTGGCCAGAAACTCACCAAGCCACCTGCCCCAGGACACTCCCACATGCAGCGTGTGCGATCATTTACAAAGACTCCTGTGTGCCAGTCACCTGGGTCAGGGCTCAGTGCCCTGGGTCATTCAGGGCTTTCTAGAGGAAAAGACCTGAGCCAGCCAAGGACATCCCTCCATCCCCTGCACTCCTTACCACGCTGGCCGTGTCTGTGCTTTTCTTGGGCACGGTGATCAGGTCACACTTCTTGTTTGCAACAGGCTTACTGTCTAGAATGTTCTTCTTGACTACTTTTAGATCCCTGTTTTTGCCTGGAATGTATCCATGCTTCAAAGAGATGAGGATTGGATCAGCATTCTTCCCCTCAAACCACTCTTCAGCCTCCAGGGCAGCTTCGGGCCCTGCTGTGTCAGGATACAGGTCATCTTGGAAAAGGTCAGACTGCAAGAGACATTTGGGAAACTTTCTGTAAGGATGAAGACAAAAGGTGTGGGTTTTTTTTTTTTTTTAGTATGAACTACCTGGGAAACTGGGCACTCACCTTCCTGGGAACAGTCATGATAATAGGCTCACACTTTCTCTCGTGAAGCTTGAAAAATCTTCAAAGGGAAAGTAAAGGCAAAGTTACACAAAGTAAAATATGAGGCTGAATAACAGAATTAAAAGCTACTTTTCTACAATGGAACATGGGAAATGAAATGCTTTTTTTCCCATCACCTTATCTGAGCCTCTCTGGAAGCGGTGGGACTTTAGTTCCCCACTTTACAGATGAGAAAACTGAGGCTGAGAGTATCTGTGCTAGGCAAGCTGGCGACAAGAACCATGAAGAGAGGCCTATGAATTATGGTGAGGGTCAAACTAATTACCTGGGGGCAGATTAACTACAGTAGAAATGCCAACACTGGTAATGAGTTATTTTTGAAAACGTTACCTGTCACCAGAGAGATCACACACCCTAATCTATGCCCTGGGTGCTAGGTATTCTGCCAGCTGGAGGTGGCTGAATATCTGTGAAGTATAAACAAGATTTTTAAAAAGGAAAAGAAAGCAAACCTAGGACGTAAGATTTTGGCATCCAAGCAAAGCGCATCATGGAAAATGTGAAATTATTCAATATGGGAAGAGTGGGAATATAAAGCAACTATTATCTTATGGAAGAGGACAAAAAATGCTTCCATGGCAGGGCAGGGGTGGGGTGAGAAAATTCTTCTTTTCATCTTACAGACAAACCAGAAATACCTATGATGAGAGTGTAAGGGCAAGCCCAGGACGGGCAGCGACTTAGTCTCTTGAGTTCTCACCAAGACAGGCAGCTGCGGGTGGCTCTGACCACACTGCCAGGTGAGGCAGCTGGCACGCAGGGAAGAGCCCAGCAGTCAGCGAGGGCGCTGCTGGGGATGAGCCTGTGCTCAGGCGAAACAGAAACGGCCCAGCTCTGCCTGGTAAAGGTGCTTGTAAAACAGTCGTTAACACCCAGTCACTATGTCAACAGAAAGGGCCACAGAGAAAGCAAAGCCATTTTTAAAAGCTGATTAATGTAAACTCTGCAGGCAGCCTGGGTGTCAAAGGATTGATTTCCAGCTCTACTACAACTTCTGAGGGCAGGACAATTTCTCCAAACTTCAAGTTTCTCACCCTTAAATGGGACAAAACTAACACCTTCTTCCAAGGGGCTGTTAAGAGAAGTCAAAGTTATGTAGCATGGTTAGCACCGAGCCCAACGCAGAATTCAGGACTCAGCAAACAAAGCAGTGTCCTGTGTTCCAAAACAGTCCATGTAATCTTCAATTCAGATTCAATCTGTTTCGAACCACATTTTGATTAGGTTCACAACACAATTTAAAATTATCTGTGACGGTTTCATTCCTCTAGTTATTTTTTAGCTCAGTGGCATAAGCGCCTGCCTGGCAAGCATGAGGTCATCAGTTTGATCCCCAGTACCAAAAAAAAAAAAAACATTAATAAGGCTTATAAAAATCTCTATATTATTATTATTTTTAAAATGTAAGTATCAATTCTTAATCACATGACCAGAGCAGCAAACCTTTTGTGGTGTTGTTTTGGTGCTAGGGATTGAACCCATGCAAACTCTGAAGTGCATATAAACTTCATATGAACGAGTGATATGATAGCCTATCTAAGTGTGCTGCTGGTCTGCTGTTTTAAACAGTCAGTGACCACTAAGTCCCATGAAGTATCTTTTGTTGGCTACTGTGAAAAAAAGCACATCCCCTTAGAAACTGATTAGCATTACAGGATATAAACAGGAGTGGCACAGCTGCAAAAACTGTACAACACGTGGAACCTGCTAAATCAAGCTAGCCTCACACCCTAGTGCAGGATCACTGGCTTGTCTAGTGTAGGGCCAGTAGGTCCACAGTCCTTTGTAGAACCTGATTTTTAGCCCTTCAGGGCCAGAAACTACCTTTTTTTTTAATCCGAGAGCCAGGTTCTCACCTGCTTGTCTACCAGAGAACATGGGCTGTAGCCTTAGCTTAACAGTCAAGAGACAAGGTTTCACTATTTCAGTGAGCACACAATGCAGCTCAGCCAGGCCCTTAACTGCTGCTCTTCTGGTTGAACGGGTAGGAAATCAGGTATTAAATAATTCCATGCCACACCCAGGGTAGACAGTACTAGTACTGCTCTGGTATGGTGTGGCTGCTACAAAGAGCTGAAACCCTTTAATACGCCCAATCTTTACCTGGCAATCTCACATTTGTTGACATCAAGTCCCCGCTTGGGCATGTAACCCATCCCTCTCTGAGGCTCCTTGCTGCTGAATGTGTTGAGGTAGTGGACATATGGGGATTCATCCGTGATCTCAAAATAGCGGATGCTACTGTCACCCTGTAAGAAATCAGAGACAAAGGAGCGTTTAATGCTAACTGAAACAGCTGGTGAGGACGGCGGTCTCCTTCCTCCATAACCTCAGCACTCAAGGGGACCTGACTCCAGTAGCTTACCTTTCCTTCCCCACACAGGCTCTCCTAAGTAGGTAACAGTTCTTTTCCCTCAAAGGTGAAGCCCTGACTACGTATTAGTCACCCAGCAGGCTTTTAAATGGTTTCCTGTGCCTACTCCCAAGGACTCTAATTTTATTCTCCTAAGGAAGATTGTTGGGAGTATAATTACTCATTTACAGATTTGCTCATTAGCCCAGGTCAGCATCAATGACAGATTCGAGGATATTAACACCAAGCAATCAAATGATAAGAAACAATGAGATTTTTCTGATGATGAGACCTCAGTTTTTGTATCCTTCAACTTCAGACAGGAGTTCTAACTGGCATGTATAAAATTCTGTAATTTCCTTATTTAAAATGGTCAGGTTTTTGGAGACCCGAAGACTGAGATACACTACTCTAAGTTAACCATTACTTAGTTACACCAACTTGAACACTGAAGACAATCCTATCTGGAAGAGAAGACACACATGTGCACATTTATGTATGCACGTGTGTACACACACACACAGAGAACCTAAACAGCCAGGCAAAGGCAGTACAAGCTCTAACAAAGCTCTTTGTTCTCACAGTTTCCATTTGTTTTAATCACTTAAAAATTTAAAGCGGTAACAATGAGCCACACATGTACAGCCGTGTTCTGTATACCCAAAGTAATTTTCCCTTTTGGGTTAATACTCTCTGGGTAAGCTGTTCATTTTGTTTTGATGTAGTCCATGGCAGCAACGGTAAGGCTTATGTACTTAACAGCTGCAGTAAGTGACTTTTAAGGAAACAGACAAGCTCTGAGACTGTAACTAATTGACCTTAAACATGCAAAGCAGCTCTGTCAGCTGTGAAAAGGAACTCAGCAGCAGCAAGCGGCCACAAACAAGCGTGCGGACTGCATCCAAAGCTCCATTTTTATTAATTCATTTATTTCAACTCCAAAAAGGTTTTAGGAAAACTGAATCTACAAAAGAATAAGGAATTTTGAAGTTACCGCCTACTAAAAAGAATTAATAATAACAGTAAAGCTACCAACGGTTTCAGTTGAGTTCATAAGGCAACAGGAAGGTGTTCTGAGTTCACAGTAACATCTTCCTGTAGCACTGGTCACCCCGAAACTTCAGTCAGGCCATGTGTCTTCCATCCCTCACCCTGAGCTCCTAGATCGAGAACCCTCTGGAGAGTTTCTGAGGCCTCCAAAGGTCCCATCCACCCAGGAGTTTCTCTTTATAAGCTATGACACAAGGTCCACTAGATGTGGCAAACCTGTTACCCATTCCTAATACCAATGCAGATGGATGTAAAAATCACCAGTCGCACAGCACTGCTAGGTGGAAACAAGACACCAGCACGTCCTATTTCTCTCAGCAGAGTGCTCTAAGTGACCAGCTCCCCTGCCATCTGTCCCAACACCTGGCCCAGTCCTTGTCTCTGGTCCAGTCTCAACACTGAAACATACCAAAATTACCTGTCTTTACCTCAGCTTACCACTCAAATAAAACAAATTTAAACATTTAAATAATATGGTACATTGTGCATCTTCTAAATCTCCAGAGGACAGATATTTCCCTTTACAGGATTCAATTTAATATCAAATATCAAAATCGCTATTTACCTTTCCACATAAGTAAATGATACTAGTGTCGGGATCATAGAAAGGTAGCAACACCCCATTGCTTGTGTCCATTTCATGAAGAGCAATTGGTTCTTGCATATTTTTCTGAGGAAAAAAAAAATATATGTACATATCTTAGAAGACAAATTTTTGTAACTTTATTATACATTCTGTAACTAAATGAACCATTTTTCCAGAATAATCTAAAATTTGAACAAGGCAAATCTTCATACATGAAAATATCAATAGGGGTGGGTGCGGTGGCTCATGTCTGTAATCCCAGCACTCAGGAAGCTACGGCAGGAGGATCATTATGAGTTCGAGATCAGCCTGGGCTACAAAGTGAGCTCAAGGCCAGCCTGAACTGCATAGACAGACCCTGTCTCAAAAAGACAAAAAAAAAAAAAAAAAAAAAAAAAAAAAATCAATAAGGATCAAAGTGAGGAAAAATTATGCTGATTTGACCACATAATTAATGTACATGGTTCCATGAGAAAAATAAGCACTCTTTTTCTTTTCAGTTTGCTTTTTAAAAAGCATCTTTTCTCATTATACACAGATATATACATTTTAAAAATTTAAAGACATAAAGCACATGAAAGCCCATCTGTAACCCTAACACTCAGGAAGCTGAGGCAGGAAGATCACCGCGAGTTTGAGGCTAGCCTAGGCGAATAGCAAGATCCTGTCTCCAAAAAATGGGGAAAGTCAGCTCACAAGCTGTAATTCCACAGTCTGGGTGGCAGAGAGTATCAACATTCTGACCCTGCATGCTTGGTGTTGTATGGTGTTCGGTCTTACCACAAACAAAACTGTTGTATGACACACAAACAAAACTGGAACTGCACCATCTATACAGTGGAGCTCTCCCCCCGACTTATGCTAATTATAAATATTTCCCCCGAGCAAGACTATCTTTTTTTTTTTTTTTTTTTTTAAAGGTTTTTTGAGATAGGACCTTGCTCTGTCGGCTGGCCTGGAACTCACTATGTAACCCAGTCTGACCTTGAACTCGTGGCAATCCTACTGCTTTGGCCTCCCAAGGGCTGGGATTATATGCTTGTGCCGCCATGCCAGCTAGAACTATTCTGATTTAGACATCTGATCAGTGTTTATGACATGAAAGTTTATACTTTATGTTCCAAATCTAAAATGCTGGATTTGTTGCATATTCTTAAAAAAAAAAAAAAAAATACAGTCAATGTAGACCCCCCACACACACTCACTTGGGAGTATCAAAAACATAGCCACCCCTAAGTCTTCAGTGAGGCCATGGACTTCCTGTGCAATTTAAGACAAGAGGAATCTGCACGACCACACTAAGACTCTTATGATCCACTACTAATGCAGCCACCAGTTCAGAGCAGAGAGAAAGCAGCTCAGGTGAAAGTAAGCTGCAAGGAAGAGGCCTACCGGGTTCCAGAGCGCCAGCTGCCGCTCGCTCATGCGGCTGAAGCCGGTGGTGAAGACGTTGCCATCCGCCAGGAAGATGGCCCTCATGGGCCGAGCTCCTTCATGTGCTTTCTCCTTTTCCTGGGAGAGTGACAGCAAAGAGGCACATTGGATATATTCAAACTGCAGGACCAAAGGCGGGTGGGGAGACCCAACTTCATCTTGCATGCAATCTGTGTTCTCCTACGCAGGCAAGGAGTGTCAAGCACCCCTCTTCCTTCCCACGTGAGGAAACAGATCAACAGTAAGTGATGTAGTCAAGGTCCCCAGCTAGATAGCAAGCGAGAGCACCAGAACTGGACTCAAAGACCTTACTCTTTCCAACCAAAGTCTATGCACCGCAAATAGAATGTACACAGGGTTTTTTCTCAAGAGGGCTATATACAGGGTTAAAGGTTGGAGATGGCCTACAATTTCTCCAATAACCTAGAGCTAACCTGGTCTAGTCAACTCCATTCTCAATCTCATTCATTTAATCAGAGTGCACTAATACCCACCTTGGGAAATGCCTAGGAAAGAAAGATGCCACACAGGGCCAGGTAGGCCACCAGTGTTCAGTGAGCACTGGCCCTCATGCTTGTCCAACCCTTTAGAAATACCACTGCCAAAGACCACAGCATCCCAGGAAGGCATCCCGGCACAGCTGAAGTGAGACATTCTTGGGTTCAATCCTGACTAAAGACCCGCCCCGCCTTCAGCTGGGACATGGGGTTTTGCTAACGCCCAACCAATGTGGCAGACACTAAGACACAGAGCCAAGGAAAGAACAGTTTGCAGTTCTGTAAGGCACTTGCACCACATTGGGAAACGGGCAATCTGTTCATTAGCAGTCAGCACTAAGTCCCACAAGCAGGAATGGAGTCTAATTCAGTTAATCCAAACTTCTAAATTCTTTTTTAAACTTTTCAATTCTCAAAGAGTGATTAAAAACTATCTCTTTGTATTGCTTGCTAAGGAAGAAGGGAGAGTCAAGGCTGGAAATATGTAACTCCAGAAAGACATGTGATGGGAACAGTCAGAAGCCTGTATAGGGTTTTCTCTTCAGTTCACACCTGTGCTTGGCAAGGATCCGATGGCCAGAGCTGCTGCCTGCCTTAAAATCAAGGAGTCCGGGGCTGGGGATTTAGCTCAGCAGCATAAGCACCTGCCTTGCAAGCAGGCAGCTGTGAGTTTGATCCCCGGTACCAATTAAAAAAAAAAACAAACAAAAAACAACAAGGAGTCCACAGGTCCCGAAGAGCTGCAGCCACTGGGAGAATACTCACGGCAACAATCTCTTGTTTCCTGGGATCAATTACTCTCACTTTCTTGTCTTTGGAAGCTGTGCAGATCAGACTGCCATTCCGGTTCCAGCTCACATTGTAAATCATGTCTGAATGCATGTCATCCAAGTTTATAAGGGCTTCACCTGTCCCCACATTCCAGATGATGATGGCATTATCACAGCCTGAAACAAGCAAAACCAGCCCCCCAGAGATTACCAACACCTGTGTAACAAGCTGGAGAAAATGATCAACACCGGGAGGGCATTTACAACTGCACAGAAAAGGAAGTGCCAATAAGCAGGAGCTCTACTAACTGGGAGATTGACAAGAAAAAGATTTGTATAAAATAAAAATATGAAAAGGAAACACAGTTTGCTAACTTTGAGTTCATATGAAGCAACCAAAGAACTACACCAAAATAGAATCTTATCTTTTTTCAGAGTTAACTGGGCTGGTGGACCTGAGTCATTTCAAGTTTCCTTTCCTAGTAAATCAAGCATCAGCATGAACATAGCAGCTTATTTCTTTTCAAAGAACTTTGGGTGGCAGATAGTCAAATCAGTGATGCTGTGACACACGGCCTCAGTATAGGAAAGCTGGTAACCTACTATGATATGAGGGATGTAAGGACTGACCCACTGGCTCCCCACAGGTCTTATCTTTAAAAGGGGAGACAAATAGCCTAAGAGTGGCTTGGATCATGGTGCGAAGCCCAAAAAATAGTCAACTAGGCATGCAGATTCAGAAAGTGGTGCCTTAAAAGGCCCATAAGCCCTCAGCTGATCAATTATACCCTTCATTCCATTAAGGCTCTGCCCTTTAAAGAAGCATGGGGTACACCTATAATCTCAGCACTCTGGGAGGCTGAGGCAGAAGAGTATCAAATTTAAGCCCAACTTGAGCAACTTAGCAAAACACTGTCTCAGAAAATAAAAAAGCAGGGGATGGAGATTTAGCTCAGCGGCATAAGCGCCTGCCTTGCAAGTGTGTGGTCGTGAGTTTGATCCCCGGTACTGATAAAAAAAGAAAAAAAAGATAGAGTTAAGAAAATAAAAAAGGGCTAGTATGTAGTTCAGTGCAAGGGTTCTGGGTTCAGTTCTCGGTATGCACCAAAACAAAAAGATCATGTGTTGCTTTCAGGACATCAGTTCATACATAAAGCAAAATAAGGGAAAGATGGTGAATTCTTGCCAGTAAAGCAATTCTGTGAGTACTTTAGAAAAATTAGCCACTAATATATACGATATTGTACACAAGTTACTCAAGGGCAACCAGAGAACATAACAGTACACAAAGCTGGAGCTAAACTCAGGGGAAGAGAAGAGAAGTGACCCTTCCTCGGCTTTGTTCCTCACAGGTAAGCAGGTAACCTCAGCTGTTGCAGGCAGAGCACACAGTCTTAGCACATGCAGAAGCCTGCAGCCCACCGCTCTGCTTCGCTTGTGGGAGAGGGAGCAGAAGCAGTCCGTGCTGATACCCTACGCATGACCTCGATGAGGAGGGCAGCAGGAAACTTTCCACAGTGGAATTCCATCTCTGGAATTTTTTCCTCTTATCAGGCTGAGATTCTGAGTAGATGAAAATTTCCAATTACAGTTTTTCAACAGTTATAAAAAACAGTATCTGATGTAGTTTTTGAAAGTAGTCCATGATTTCTGTAAATACCTGGCATTAACTTTCTATTTAGTTCACCATAAATCAAAACATTCCATGTCTAGTTAAAAACTGACTTGCCTCTGTTTTACTAGTGAGGAATTAGACCTTTAAAAATTCTACTACTAAGCCAAGTGTGGTGCTACAGGCTGTAATTCCAGCACTCAGAAGGAAGGACCACTGTAAACATGAGGCCAGCCAGGGCTACCTAGTAAGTTCAAGGCCAACCTGAATTATACGGCAAGGCTCTGCCTCAAAAAAAACAAGACAGACAAAACCCCTCCCACTGATACAGTGTTAATATATCTAGGGTACACCCCTCACGTGTGGGCACTACTACAGTGGGCACACAGAGCCCTCTCTCTGGCTCATCAGCCAAGTCTCAGCAGCTGAGCACTGAGCAACTGGATAACAACTGGTTTTCCTTAACTAAAACCTCAGTTCTCAGGTTTAACTGCAGTACTGGCACTCTGCAATAAGTAAGGCGGGTTTTGGTTGCAGTTTGGGCACCTGGTCTGAAAAGGTCCGTCACCACTGCCCTAATGTACACTTAGGGAAGTTTCAACAAATGAATGTAATCACATAGCCTCTGCCATAACCAAGACACAGAACACTTCTATCACTCCCAGAGCTCCTCAGTGCCCTCTCTAACTGCTCCTATAAAAAAAAAAAAATCTCAAGTTTTAGACACAGAAAAGACTTCTGCAAGATAAACTTGGAAAGTAATCAGGGAGAAACTAGTAAGCACACCAAGCTGCCAACGTTCCTCACAGTGCTAATAGTGAATATCAGATACAGTATCAATGTCCAGAAACAGGAGACTGAAAATTGAGGTATATCCACATAATGGTTTATACTGGAGTCATAAAAATGTATCTAATAGTCACATTTAATGGGAGGAACGGTTAGTGGCTATGAGAAGGATCATAGCACACCACTAACTGCACAAGGTAGGCCACATATAAAGTGTGTGAAGCCTTCCGTATTTTTGTAAGTGCACTGCACCATGGTTTCCTAGTGCTCTTTTCAGAGCTACAATAGTAGAAGAACTCAATGACAGGGCACTTGTGTGGAAGCCATGGCTTTGACTCCTAGCATCACAAAAATGAACAAAGCTGCAGAACACACATTCAAAACGCATTTGTTGTTCTCCTCCATATGAAGGCCCAAGAGAAGCAAAAGCCCAGGGCAAGGAGGGACCGCTGGCGCCACTACCTGCACTAAGGAGTACGTTGCGTGCCGTTGGATGCCAGGCCACAATACCGACTCTCTTTGAATGGCCTTCTAGGATCACCACAGGTTCAGTCAGGGAAAGGGTAAGTCCATTTTCTGGAATCTGCCATACCTGTTGGAAAAGGAAGGAAGAGGAGCCACGTGAGCCCTATTGTCTTTCCTTAACTTCTCTGCTGTGACCATCCAGTTGGAAGACCATCCAGTTGGAAGATATGCTCTGCCTAACCAGACCATACAATGGTGGTTAGCGAAAAGCACTTCACATTTCATTGTGAAATGGCTGTACAGTAAAATGTAGCATGGTATCACAAAGATCAGACTATCAATAAGGCACTGGGCATGGTAGTATACATATGTAATCCCAGCACTCTGGGAGATTGGGCAAGAGGATCACAAGTTTGACCCCAAGGTGGGCAACTTAGCAAACTCTATCTCAAAATGTTGACAAAGGGCCGGGGATGTAATTCAATGCAAAGGCCTTGGGTTCAGTCCCCAGTAAAGACGCTTCATTTTAGTGAAAATGTGAGTCAAAACCATAAGATACCACTTCACATATCCTAGGATAGAGAGAAACAGACACATAACAAGAGCTGGCAAGGATGTAAAGAAGTCAGAGCCTTCACACACTGCTGGTGCAGTTCCTATAAGGTGTAGTCACTCTGGCACTTCCTTAAATGGCTAATCATGTGGTTATCATGTGACCCAACAATTCTATTCCTAGGGATACATCCAAGAGAAATGAAAATATATACCACACAAAAATTAGCAAGAAGGCCAGGCATGGTGGCGCATGCCTGTAATCCCAGCACTCAGGAGGCTGAGGCAGGAGATAGTCATCCTTGGTTAGAAAGTGAGTTCAAGATCAGCCTGAACTGCAAAATAAGACTCTGTCTCAAAAAACCACACACACACACACACACACACACACACACACTTACATACACACATTGCATGAAGAATGCCCACAGCAGTGTTATTCATAATACCCAAGAAGTAAGAACAGCCCAAGTGTTCATCTATGGATAAATGGCTAAACAAAATGTGACATGCTTACATCACGTGATTCTATTGGGCCACAACGAATGGCACACTAGTACCTGCTATGACACAGATGAACCCTGAAAATGGGCTAAGTAGAAGTCAGACATAAAAAGGTACACATCATAGGATTCTTTTTTTTTTTTGGTCCTTTTCTTTTTTATCGGTACCAGGGATCGAACTCACAACTGCCTGCTTGCAAGGCAGGCGCTTATGCCACTGAGCTAAATCCCCAACCCCACATTATAGGATTCTATGCATGGAAAATGTCTGGAATAGGGAAAAACAGACAAGGAGAGTAGTGACGGCTTCCTGGAAAGCAGGGAAAAGGTGGTAGGTAAAAGATAGAAGATTTCATTCATTCATTCATTCATTCATTCATTCATTGTGAGCTTTTTCAGACAGGGTCTCGCTAGGCAGTTCAGGCTGGCCTTGAATTAATGGCAATCCTTCTGCCTTGACCTTTCCAAGTGCTGGGATTACAGATGTGCACCACCACACCTGGCTTTGGGCTTCTTTTAGAAATGATAAAAATGTTCAGAAATTGCAGTGATGACTACATTTATCTGAATATCCTAAAAACCTATGGATTGTAAATTATGTAAATGGGTGAATTCTGTGTGAATTATATCTCAGTAAAGCTGTTTTTTTTAAATGCTCTTGAGTGGTAAGGACATGTGGAAGAGTCACCATATCCTAACGGGATAGGCCTGGACGCAGGGACAAGAGGGCAGGGAAAAGGCATCCTAGTGGAAGGAGCGAGGGCGTCTGCTTAATAATGGAAGCCATACATTGAAAGGCTGAGAAGCAATCTGCTGAGAAGAAGACTGAGTGAGAGTGAGCTGGACAGCAGCAACCCTTCTCAGCAGATATTACACAATATTTAAGTTCATGAAAAGGCTGAAGTCTAAAATGATTACACTCTTGGGCCCGGGGTATAGCTCAGCAGCACAGTGCCTGGAATACTGGCAAACTCAAGGTGGCAAATTCAATTCCCAGTACCAAAAATCAATCAATCAATCAATAAGTAAATTTACCATCACCAAAGGATTTTAACAAATTACTTCAGTGAAAAAATGATAGAAATAAACAGAATTTCCCTTTGTGGGGATTTTTAAGGAGAGAAACAACTATTTGGGTTTAGTTGCTTAGTGGAGGGCAGGGCTCTGGACCAGCATTTACGGTTCAGCTATTTTGGTGTCCTGAGAAAAATGAGGACAAAATAATGTAGTCTGAAGCGAGGGGAAAACCCATGAGTTGAGTGATGAGCTCACTGTTGTGCTCAGGTTAAATATAGCCTATTATGCAAATCATGGCAAAATCAACTTGTCTTTTGAGGACCTATGTCTAGACTTCACCTGACTGCTCTGGAACCATCACAAATTTTATACAAGGCAGGTGTGAACAAGCGCAGAGGCAAAAAGACAATTTCCCTCCTCACGCAGACCCATGCCCCTCCTGCCAAGCAGACTGACCACACCCCACTCCCCCAGGGGAGCGTGGGCAACCACTTCCCCTCCAGCACAACATACCTGCGGTCATCCTCACACGTAGTGTCCTTACTCAAGGATTTGTGATTAGCAAAACAGCCCTGAAATGAATGCGACTGACTCTTTAAATATAAAGTGGGACTGAAATTTTGAAGAAAACAAACAGAAAACAATGGCTACTGATCTGATCAAAGCATGAAGTCGGTAGGGAAACAACTATGAAATGAGACTTCAGTGACTCAACCGGAAATGCATTTTGCAAGATGACTCTGATCCAGGCTTAGAACCAGAAGAGCGGTAATACCACTTGCCATCTCCAGGTGGCACTCTAACCATGCGATGCTGGGGCTGTTTCAAGGACCACACAACAAGGCCACCTAACTTTGACCAGGGACTAAGTGATGTGAGCTATGGTTATAATCAACCTTCCCATTCTTAAATATGAAGGCAGAGACAGAACTCATAACAGGGCCTCACTTTTTCCTTTCTCAAGCTTCTCTAGCCATTTATCACTCTAATTGACTGGAAACTTTAATGACAGAGCAAAACATTTATAATTTTTAAATGAGAATGAACTATTTCTTTCTACCATATTTTCTGCAGACTTAATGATTTCTTCCACTAGATTTACTAAGACACTTATTTTATTATATTTACTGAGTAGCCACTCTAAGGCAGGTTTGGCCACAGGTAATTACACAAAGACTGCTCTGGAGGAGTTAATGGTCTAACAGAAAGCAGAGCAGAAAACAGGAGTGATGTGAACAGTTAAAGAGTAGACCTTAGAGATAGGTAGGTGATCACTGGTTCAAATCCTGCCTGGGCAACTTACTGTTGATCCTGGGCAAAAAAGAAATGAAACATAAATCCCAGCTAGGTTGCTAAAAGCATTAAGTGACTTAGTAAAGCCCTAGAACACAGCCTTGCACTAAATAGTACCTCCAAACTGTGGACAAAGTATGCAGGCTAAGCCTGTTAACACAGGCTTTACCCAGACTGTTATAGGAAGCCTGATTCTTCATGAGCTTCTCCTCAGTAGGGTAGCTGAGGATTAACAGAGACATGAATCTAACATATTTAGAACAGGGCCCAGCATGACGCGGACACTCAGTAAGGTTAGCCACTGTTATATTACTCACTAGGAGACCGACCACACAGTATAACCAAGGTGGGACCCATGCCAGTGGAATGCTGAATGAAAATGTAAGTGTTACCAGTTACTTTCTTGCTGACTAAGTGTGGTCCATGGAGGTAGGTTCCATGAAGAGAGATGACCTCTAAGAATAAAAAGGAGTGACAGGAAGAACGAAAATCAAATAACCCATTTCAAGATAAATAGCACAGATGAATAAAACCATTTTCTAAACAGTTTGTGCACTAAATAATGCCTCAAAAAGGCTGGCTGAAGGGTTGGCAGGGAAAAGGTACCCGAGTCAAAAGGTAGCGCTGCAGGCGTGGGTCCTGGGATGCACAGGGACGTGACTGTGGAAGTCTGAAACAAAACAAAAAACCAACAGAAGCCTAGGGTCTGTTGGTAAATAAAGGTGGTGGTGTTCTCCACCGTGGACTACGGGAAAGAGCGCTAAGTCCTTCCACACTAAGTACACACATCCTTCTGGCTGATGCCCACATGCCTGTTTCTACACAGCTCCCTGTCCTTTTTAGGGTTGTATGCTACTTTCGAGTAATGGTCTGTCTGTGTAGACTGAAGGTCTCACCTCTTGCGGCTCAGGGCCAACAATGAGCAGAAAGTGACCCTTAGTACATGTCTAATCTTATGCATAATCTGAGACACTGGTCTGGGTGTCAGAAGGGTCAAGCTCCTGCTACAGCTGGGACATACTTAGTCATGCTGGCATTAAAAAAGGCCGTGCTTCTGGGTCCTCCACTTCCTTGTTTGATACTGAGGGCAGCAACAGCTAGGCCTGCAGAGGGTTACTCGGAAGGTCAAATGAGCTAAAACATGCTGCACTGCACTGCCCTACTGGGAAACACTACCCACAGGAAGGAGCACAGGCTTTGGAGTAAGGAAGATCTGGTTGTGGATGTGCCTCTTATTAGCCATGTGACCTGTGATGAAACTGTCACTCTGTGAGCACTGCTTCTAAGTTATGATGGGTCATACTCCTGCCTTTAACTGTGCTGCTGAGTGATTAAATACGAGCACACACATAAAGACTTGCAACAATGCCTAGCAAAGGAAGTATCTATTCTGTGCTCATGAGTACTCTTCATGCTGTCACTATGACCACTATGACCCTGCATGTGTTGTTAGGTCTGAACATCAGCATCTCTTGGAATGAGCCTTATCTTCAAATTAGCTCAGCCTGTGCTCAACTAATTAATATGAATTTACATCCAAGATATCCTATTGTGAAAACTCCCACTTCTGCCTAGGCCAATTAGCACAGTGAGGACAAAATGAATCTCTGCATAGTCCTGAGAGGTTTTCTCTGTTCGGTGGCTGTGACTTGTATCCTAATACCAATCAATTTTCTGCAAAAACATGTAATGTTCAGGGAGGAAAACAGGCAAGGAACATCTCCACTGTGTCCAGAGTGGGCATTTCAGCACAGCACTGGCC